CTGTCTTCGCACAAAGAAATGAGTTGCGTTAGAAATGGCTGCGTACCCTATATAGTTAGAATTGGCGTAATCATTTGGTGTGAATACACTCGACATACAAGTGCATGTCGCTTGTTCTCATAAAATTTGAAAATAATGAGGTATTTTGCCATACAGTGTTATAGGAGCCAGAGAATTTGTAGTGGTGGTCGTTTCCTGTTTGTCTATGATGGACACTACAGCAATAACGGCCATGTCTCAGTAGAGATAAATGAATCCATGTTAAAAGATATATTTACTCTTGATTTCGTGTTATCGAATGAATAGTGAAAGCCTGTTAGAAAAGGTAGGCGAAATTAAGAAGACGGTGAGGCTAGAACCTCAATATTACAGACGGAAGTTTGCGCGTCAATATTGAATTATAAAGAAAGTACCATTAAACAATCACTGGCACAATTTGTCTAGCAAGCATTTGGTAAGCGGCAAATAACTTTCGAGGAACAGCGACCTGTCGATGCTATATTCGAGTTGACACCAGAGACAGCGTTCTCATGGACGCTGTTAGTGTTTGGACGTCATCGAATATACACAAAATCGCTGCTTCTTGGTGTCGAAAATTCTCCCGGCAGAAGCAACGCTGTGGCGTTTACAAGTTCGGAGGCGGAACATCGAATACCTGCCGTTACTGCTCGGTGACTGCCAAATCGTCTTGAAATAATGCCACTTTTTTTGCAAATTGAGTGGAGAGAGGAGGCATAAGACGTTGAGAAAGACGAAGTAATACATATAGCAAGTGGATTGTCAAAGTCACTCTTCACGCAAACTAATTTGTCCAATGGCAGTCGGAGATGTTTTGCCATGATTGGGCTTACCACATGACTAATCACCGATAGAATCTCACCGGTTCTGTTACTTCGAGGAAGGTACCAAGTGTAACATGAAATAAATCATCATGTGAAAAATACATTATCCGCGTCCCCACATCTGCATCAGATGCACTTTGATTGTCCATGATACTGCCGAGATATTATAATAATAAGAGTGTTTATTTATACTTATGACACTGAGAGTTGTCTCCAGTAGATTGTTTGTTGTTACCCAATTGCGCGATCTTGTCACCGCACGTCTTTTTGTGCGACGTTGAAAAGGCGTTAGATCAGGAGTAACTTTTGTGTCTTTGTACTGGGTTGATGAGCTCATATTTTCGCTCAAAAGAATAAATCGTCTGGCATTGTTGCAGCAGCCAAATTTGAACAGAAGATGGCAAGTTGATTTATCCAATTTTTTTCTGAGGGATGTGACTTGACAACTCACGTTTGTCATACTACATGCTTGTAGACAGGTATCCCTTAGCGAAATCGAGGATGTGCGATCAGGGAGGTTTTACGCAATCGCATTGCAGGAAAACATTGGTCTTTTCGTAACTTCCTCAGCTACAAACTCTTAGATGTATTCAGCTTTTCTTAATTCCTCGAGGTTTCTACCATTAGTTGAGGCCCATATGTGCGTGAGTGGTGCTAACAAGTTTAGCTTATCGTTAATTTGGGCAAGCGAGTCTTGTAACTGTCGTATCTTGATGTCATGGTTATTACTACTATGATCGAATGGATCATTCAACTTCTTGGTTTGTCTACTTTCAGATTTTCGCTTCACAGGGTTATGCTGAATTTTATTGTGTCGACGTTTCGGTAAACGTGAGTGTAGTACCTCTGATATCTACGAGTTTCACCGTTGTCACAAAGATTAATGGTTAAAGATAATGAAATTTTTTGATAAGAGATAGAGGGTTTAAAAGATGGAGGTGTAACTCTTCCAATATTAGATTCATCAGACACAGGGTTGACTGATTTTGATGTTTTGGGTGGTTCAGAAGTTGAAGACATTTCTCTTTTACTCGAATTATTGGTCACAATGGAAGACATAGTATGATAACTGCTCGTCTAATTAACGCAGATAAATAAGGGTATAACTTGTGGTGTATTAACTGGGTTAATACTAAAATTCAGTGCCGGTAGAGATAGATAAGACGAACAGTTATAAGGTGTAAGAATCTCTGTCAGTCGATAAGTAGGTTTCAAAAAGTGATTTCAGAAGTTAAGAACGTTATCAAACTGCTGTCGGTTTATATATCGTACTTCGGAATGCTAGTCTACGACAAGTATGTAATAACTGATTAAAAACTTAATTTTACTAAATCAACATATTGCCTTAAGAAAACTATACAACGTGAAAAAAAGTTACCACCTTCAGAGTTCGCGACTTGTAAAGGTGTTAACATCCTCCAAAGCGTGTCCATGAAGTGCGATTTGGTTGGCGCATGTTGTGTTGTATCGGAAAATCGTGCTTCTCCCTTTATGTATGTCGAGAACTGCTGCTGCTGTGAACGCTGATACACTAGTCGTCTTCTCTTGCAATCGCTGTTGCGTGTGCGATAGAAGAACAAGGTTGTCTGCGAAGTTTAGACCTTCCAGCTGCATCCCAGCCGTCCATCGGATTCCGTGCTTCCCTCCAGATGCTGACGTCTTCACAATCCAGTCGATCAACAGGAGAAGGAGAAAGGATGAGGATAAGCAACCTTGCCTGACACCGGTCTTCACATCAAACGAATTGTCAGCTGACCACCGTGCACGATTTTGCAGTTTGATCCATCGTAAGAATGCCGTATGATGTTGACTATCTACTCAGGCACACCGTGTAGTCGAAGAAGCCTCCATAGTGTCTTCCTATCCACGCTATCGAATTCCTTCTCGTAGTCGATGAAGTTGATGTAGAGTGGTGAATTCCATTCACTTGATTGTTCCACAATGATTCATAATGTTGCAATTTGGTCAGTACACGATCGATCCTTACAAAATCCAGCCTCTTGATCTCGCAGTTGGGTGTCTACGAAAACCTTCATTCTGTTTAACAACACCCTGTTGAAGAATTTGTTCGGTATCGAGAGACGAGTAATGCCTCTGTAGTTCTCATACCTGGTCAGATCACCATTCTTTGGTATCGTGATGAGGTATCCTTCTTTCCAGTCTGTCGGTACTTGTTCTTCATCTCAAATCTTGTTGAAGAGGATGTGAAATATTTTTGCAGTTGCTTCTACATCTGCTTTCACTGACTCTGCATGAATGTTTACTGGTCCCGTTGTTTTACCTCTCTTGATTTGTCTGATGGCCATATTGATCTCCTCAATTGTTGTTGGCACAACATCGATTGGGAGGCCCGTAGATGCAGCTTTGATAATGAATTAGTTGGGTGAAGCTGGCCTATTCAACGGTTGTAACATAATAATAATAATAATAATAATAATAATAATAATAATAATAATAATTTATTCTCAAATAACAGACATGTTACAAGAGGCATGCCACTTTGCAGGCAAGATCAAAATGTTAAGATTGTTAACATATATTTTGTAAAACGTTGTTCAGTCACTGAAATATTTCACAAGATACATTGGCTCCATATAGATTGCTAAAACTTCCAGCATTAAAATTATAGACAATTTCCCAGTCTGTGCAATGTACAATGCGAATGATTGGCGCGGGTTAGAATGGTTGCCTTACGACGACAGGGTTAACATCAACAGGCAGCTTTGGTGGTGTGTTGGTTTGGGTTTAGGCTTCCTTGACCGCATATTTCACTGCTTTAGTGCCAGGCGATTTCAGTTCATCCGTTGATACTTTTGAGTTGATTTTAGACGGAGCCTGCCGTTTCGCCAATGTGTCAGTTATTGTGCACCGTGAGCAGATATACCAGAACCATGGACAGAGTTGACTCAACATGAACCCGTAGTACTCTCTACGTACTGTAGTGTCGCAGTGACAATGCACCCATTTACTACGCAAATTGCATTCAAAAGCAGAGTCACTGATTTGACTGGCACTGAGCATGCGATTCAGTCATCCTTGTGCGATTTCTTGACGACAGACCGTGCCAACTGGATCTTGTGACGTCTTCTTCCCCTATTCTTATTTAGTTTACTGGTCTTTTAAGGTGTAGGACTCGGAGGGATGTCGTTCTGCTTTCTTTGTTGGAGACCCAGTGGAGTTTGTGTTTAGTGATCCGAATTATGAACACTAATCCGAAGAATGCTGTCGAATGACGGTTTGAGTTCTTTCACAACCCTGTCGCTTTGGACACACTACTACCTCTCGGGTTCATAACTCTGTAAGTTTCCCCTGGTTTTCATAGTGTAAGCGATAGCAACCTAAACGCTTAACTTGGAACCTGAGAGATTTGGAGATGAAAAGTGAGGTAACTGAGAGAGGGATATACGCGTAGAAGGAGTTTTGGAAGGAGGAATTTAGTAGTATATAAAAACAACTACGAAAGAATAGATTCTGAAAGTACTCCTAAATTGCAACTCTATCTCAGATCATTCTAGTTTATTTGCTCGCCAAATAATATACTTGAAAGTACTACGAGTTCACCTTACTCGGTAAACGAGAGCGAAGACAAATGATGTAGTGACACGACAGTCTATTCTAATCCGTTGTTCCTGGGCCGGCCAACTATATCAAGAAGTCTTGATACGGCGAGGAAAGTGTATTCTACAAGAATCCAGAAAATTCGAGGTTAACAAGCACTTGAATCGAGCTTATTTATACAATATATAAAGATCCTTGAGAGAGGCACAAAAATAGCGTACCAAAATAATACGTCAAACAATGACGTTCAAGGATTTTTCCGAGTGGGAAATGTAATCTAAGGGTCCACAAAACTAGTGGGCAACTTTGCGTGCATCCGAAACAAACGTATTCGTTGAAATCACGCGACAGAGAAACTCACAACCTACTGCTAACTGACTAGAATTAGGCAGCCAACTAGCTGAATATCCATCCATCTAGAACCCTACCGTAAGAACTAGAATCGAGCGCAAAGAAACCGAGTGGTTTATCCTAGTTCTTAGGGAAGATATTGGATATTAGAAGTCATAATTTTGCGTCGTCTACCGTTTCGTTTGTTAGTGCCTGTTGCAACTTAGTTTTCAAGGTTGCTATTGGTACTAATTCGAGTTAGATGACCATTTCCGAACGATGGCCTCTATAATTCGCTTTTTTAGCAAACGATTTCGGCGAAACACCTCTGCTCCTACACCAAGCCATGTTGATGAGGCTATATATGTCAACAAAAGCAGGAAAGCGAAAAAATCAGGCCTTGAGTGTAAAGTTGCTTATCTTGATGGCACTGAACAAACCTTCTATGTTTCAGTAATTCTTTTGAAAATACAAAATTATTTTAGTTAGAAACATGCTAAAGGATCCGAATTGTATGATATAGCATTTGCTTATGTTGCACTTGTGGAGGAAAAAGACTACTTTGGTTTACAGTTTTTTAACGAAGTTCCGGTATGTTAATTAGATTGAATATAACATTTTATCTCAGATGTGGCTGGATCCAACAAAAGAGATCAAGAAACAGTATAAAAGTTGGTTATAGTTGCATATCTTGGATTTATGAGTAAATATGTTAGTTGTAAATTGCCGTACTCAGCTTTCCCTTTGTTATTCCTTTTGGCTTGATTGTTCTCATTAAAGCTACTAACGTAGCATCTATTTTCGATACTATGTAGTTCATGGGGTATATATTTGAGAATTAGACATGTAGAGATGATAAATGATGTACGAATATGTTAGTAATGCTCTATGTAGCTATTTCTCGCATCGCGGGCATACATTCAATATGACTGACTCCGTGTACATCATGATTTATCTGTGAATACAACAAGTAACCAGTAAGTATTTAAACACTGTGAAAGTATGAGTTCGTAGTCTTAAACGAGAGTAGAAATAATTTATTCTGTCCAGTAAACACATACGGCTACCGGTTTAATTCTTCTAAATAATCGTGGTTTTATCTGGTAACTGACTTAATCAATCAGTCACCTGCATTTTGAGTGATTCAGATTTCAACTAACATTGTTTTGAATACTAGAGACCTGTTGGTCCAAGGAATGTGAAAGATAACATGACAATCTATGATATGATGGTTACAGAGCCTCCTATCTGTTTTACTTTACAAAATATTCAGTTTGTAATTGAAAGTGTTTCAAAATATTTTTCAACTCGTAGCGTCGTTTTTTGAAGAATTGTTAATATATACGTGAAAGCGTTATCTCAATTAGGTTTCGGATCATGAAATAGGAACAAATATTATATTCTTTACATATATTCCATATGTGAGTGAATTCAGTGGAAAATCACTAACCTCATGTTCGTCTTTCTATAGTAATGCTTTCTTTGTTTTTTATTTATTACTAACCTTAGATAGAACCTCAATCTCGTTTGCACTGAGAGTCAAATTTTTTGCCTCTGATCCACATAACCTACATGATGAGTATACACGTTATCTTGTGGTGTTGCAACTGCGTGATGATATACAAAAAGGAAAATTAGTGTGCAATGATTTGCAACTTGCAGCCGAACTGGCGGCATTACTTCTCCAAGGTTTGTCCTTGTTTTGTGCATAGCTTATCAGGAGACTTTAAGGAAATAAACTCCTTTTTCTCAGATATTCGAATATTTCATGTAAATTATTTTTCACAAAGTGTTTAAGTGAGTTCTAAGATTCGTTTCACCAAACCAAAGCGATGGACTGAACATTTATTTAGTCTTATGAACTAGACAATTGACTTCACGTTTTGCTAGTTATTTAAGGATAAACTTTATCAGTTAGTCTTCCTTAGACTGATCGTGAATCCCAGAGATTTGCGAATCTGTACACAAGCTCAATGTTAAAGCGTCACTATTGATTGAAGCTAGACATTAACACCGTTGGATGCCGGCTAAGCTGTTTAGAGGGTAAGCGTTAGCACGCAAGGACGAGCGTCCTTTGTTCAACTCCTGCGTGCAAAGATCGCGGATGTGCACTGCTAATGGGTTTCATACTAGGCCTCCCAGTTCCTCCAGGTTTCTAATGTTGGCCTAACGTAGATCGATTCATGATTTCGATGAAACTGAACAAAATTCACAAATCTGTAATGAAAAACTTCACTGAAGCTTGTGTATTTATTGATAGTTTACTAGCTGTATGTCTGTAAACTTTGTAATAATACCAGTTTGCATACAAATATTCCCAGTGAACTAATAAGAAATGACTCTTAGGCCTACAGAACAATCTACAAATTCTTCAGTGAGTAATCCACGATGATCCGGTCAACATAGCAGGTCGTTGGTGATCCCCATTTTGTACTATGCTTAGGATATTGATAGCTTTTACTGAAACGTTTGACATTGAAGAAAAGTTCTGATTTTCAAATCTTTCCTAAATTTATGAATTAGTTTAAAGTTTATCCAATTCTCTTAAACCACAGAGCCTTCAAGCGCTATAGCTTAGTTTAAATGTTTGCTAAATAGATAATAAATTGCAATAAAATAACTATATTTCTCGTGATATCCTAAATTACACTATAACTAATAACTTTTCTCCTGATGCTTAATTCATTTGAAGCTATCAAGTTGACCGTTGGTATTGTTGCCTACATAGATCACATATATATATATACATGTGTAAATTTTCTGCCTCATCTTAAAAATTGTATATGTGTCCTTAATCGATTGACCGCTTATTATAGACAAAATCGCGAATCTTATTTATACTCATCAAAACATTTAATCCAATTTACATGCTTTCACATTTGGTTTCGAAAATCTTTGATCTCTAATTAACATTAAAATCTATGATCATTGAACCCATCTAATTTTTTCTAATTCAAAAGTCCTATCAAACGAATAGCTGTTTTTTACTACATAAAGATTATATCTTATATTTACACGAATTCATTATACTTCAAGACATTTTTAACTTGAGTAGAAAATGTTTTAATATTGAATCAACATAATTTATTATTATAAGTGAAAACACATATACTAATATATTTTGTTGTACAAAAAAATGAGAACGAATGATGTAGCTACAAAATATAATGCCAGTCAGTGTTGTACATGAGTTGAATCATATATTTGACAACATATGTCTGACAACAATTTTGTTCCTAGAATAATTCTATGTGAGCTTTATTCAATTAAGTACTACAAAGAAATGTTTTTAACTGCCTATATACAGTCGACATTTAGTGCAGTTGAGCAAGAATATTAAGTGATTTCTTTTTCAGATTGAAAATTATAAGGATAACTGGCTAGTGGTGGAGAATCCAGGCGCACATTTCGTCCCGTTTCGAGGTCGTCGCCTTAATGTACCTGCCTAGCAGAGTTGATGTTCGCTCCACCATTCGAACTCAGTACCTTACAATGCTAGCTCACTATCCAACTCTGCTTACAATTCTTGTGGCTTTATAGCCGTATGAAGGTGATTCTCAAAAAATGTACATATAAGACAAGATAGACTTATCAATTGTAGTTTTAACTGTTAGTAGGGAGATTCAGACTACAAATAAATCAAGATAATTTTCCAGATATGGCTTGATATGGAAGTAACTATTTGTTATTTTCAATTTGATATTGATTTTTCAAATGTACAAATTTTCTTGTGAATTTTGTGGGTTTAGAAAACTAGTATACCAGTTGAATTCAAAAATCAGATGGAAATTTTGTTATAATTTCAAATAATTCATGTAACTGTGTTAAGAATTTTCATTTTTAATTTTATAATGTCAATTCAAGGCGAATTCGGTGATTTCGATCGGAAACAACATACACCACTTTTTGTGTCAACATTTCGATTTTTACCTGAAGAGAAACAAACAGAAGAATTTGAATTATCAGTGTTGGATAAGTATGAAGCTTTAGTGTAAGTTATTTTTCATGATAAAATTTCATGTTGTTTTCTTAACAGTTAATGTTATAAGTGAGAACGACAACACTGTCTATAATGTTATTATGAAATTAAGTGTTCATAGTTTAAATGTGCTTTCGATGATTATCAGTCAACTGTGTTAATAAAATCATGTAATATAATCATTCTGATTTTCTTCCTGATCGTCAACTTACTTTTCTCACTTTTTGTAATAAAAATGAAAACAAACTGTACTCGTGTATCCAAGACAATCCAGATGGACAAGAGTAGATGGATTACTTGACTTTCGAGTAATCTTTAAACAAACAGCTTGAACGATAGAAACGAAACTGATACAATTTTATCACTGTAAATGAATATAATCTTTAAAGGAGTAGAACTAATGTATCTAAAAGTTTCTAGGACAGTTTGATTAATACAATTCATGTATTTATCTGATGAACAATGTATTCACAATGCTCAACAATAAGATATGTATGTATATAAATTTAAATATATCTCCACTGAATAATTTACTTTACAATTATTAACACATTTGACCCAAATGATGGTATCATTTAACTTGTTATTATGATAGGAGAGATCATTTTGTCTTGTTATTGTCATCTATTCACTGAAGATTAATGATTTATCAAGATTATAAGATAATAATAACAATATTAACTAATATAAACTATGAAAGATAATCATATTTCAATGTGAATAAATAACTTTATGCATTCATCATTATTATTCAATGTAATCAGAATGAAATGCTTATAATCTTATCATCATAGTAGTAATAATAGTAATAATCATAATAATGGTATTCATCAGAATATTTTCTGAAATTCAGCAAAGAATATACATAAGTTTTCAGGGGTAGTATATTTGATATGAATCCCTTTTTAATGATAATACTAATAGTAACAATGATAGTATTGTGTAATTAATTTCATACCATCTGAAAGAATGTAGTTACTTAGTTACTTCAAAGTAAGCATTTTGGACAAATCTAATAAAGAAAAGCGTGAACATTATGTAGATGATTTCATAGAACAGCATCAGTGATTGGTAGTATACTTTCCACAGTAAACATGTAATTGTCAGTAGTATACATAAACTGATAGCATGTATAGAAATACCAAACAGGTGTCAAGAATGCATTATGCAAGTTTACGAACATACATAAAGCACTACATATTTTGCTATTCAGTTTAGGTGACACACTTTAATCACTAAATAAGGAGAGATTATTATACTTCACTTTGATTATGTAATTGTCTTTGCTCATTATCGGTAATAACCTCATTTGACTTCCTACTGTACTTATTCATACATGAATTAAGTTTAAAGCACTTAAGTTTTGAATAATCAATCTTCAAGAGGTTTAGCACTAGGCATGTTTACAGCTAATTAATTGCTGAATTCAAAATTCAACATTGCGAACTAATTTTGGTTATGTGATCACTGAAATGTTCAATCCTGGAGTTCTTGCAAGAAGTTATGACCAGTGAAGTCTAGTTATGTCCAGTATAAGATAAGTATCATCGGTGGTAATAAGCGACTGTCACATAATATTGTGAATTGACTTAAGTTAGAAATGTTAACTATTGTCTATCAACTTGTTGGTCGATAAATTTAGCGCTAAAAGATATTATAGATTCTAATGATTGTTTAACTAGAATAACTCTGTGATATGAAGTTTCATTTCCGAAGATATTTTATTAACCAAAACAGTCATATTGAAAGCGTTCACTTACAAGTTCTTTTTTTCTCTTTGCGTCTAACGTTTTCAATCAGCTAAATTGTAATGTTAACTTGTATCTATTAAACTCAGAAAAAAAATGACTTTAAACCAACTTCAGAAATTTATATTTGACTAGTTGAACTTACAATCTATAAATAAGTTACTTTTTGTGTAGATATCATAGTTAAATCTTATCTCATACACGTTTAAAGTTATTTGCATAACATATAATTGTCTGTCATAAACACCTACAGATATGTGTATATAAAATATGTAGAGAATACTATTTACTGATAGCTTATTCTAATTACAAGTACAATTCAAAATGTATGTTTTTTAAAGTAATACAAACTAAAATTTGTATTCATGCACAATCGACTTTTACTTTGGATACACTGTCTATTTGATACATCCATTTAATTGGTACCATGAGCGAAACCATTGGGAATCGAACTGAGGACTTCCAGTTTTTATGGTGAGCGCCTAAAACCTAGACAAATGAGTTCACAAACCGATAGTGTGTATGTTTAGCTTAAAGCAGTGTGCGATATGTTATAATCATCTATCAAGGTCATTGACGACTAACTGCTTCTTACTTGATACGATTGAACTCCACTAGTTTTAGCTTTTCATCATTATTGAAAAGTCACATATTATGATGAAACAGCTATCCAAAACTTCTTGGTTTTTGATGGTTGAGTAACTATGGCTAGTCAGTGACGTAAACAATATGATAGATTTTTACTTTAGGTATCAAAAATGTGACTGACATTGAGTATTAAAAATCACTATGTGTGTCTATAGTTAGTTTGATGACAGATAAACTCTTATTATAGGCACACAAACACTTACTTGGCTTAATTTGTGGCATAGTCATGGTGTGGATATATCTTACACTTAGATAAATTCCTGATGCATTCAAACCATAGTAATTTAATCTCACAGACAGAGATATTATCACTGCTGTCCATTTTACATTGACTGATCACTGGTTAGTAATAAATATCGTGTATATTTATTTGACGATGAGGTGAATGTTAGTGGTCAACTGATCTCTATTCTACACAGTTACTTGTCCCTCTGAACTGTGAGAATAAATAGTTAACAATGTTGTGTAGGCATTTAATCTGAATAAAGAATTAGTCATAAGCTTTTACACAACCGAATTCCATAATAATTAAAGTTGTGGTTAAACAATAATTGGAAAGCAAGAAACACTGGATAGTCTTTTAGTCCTACTATAAGACACTTCAACAATATGTATCCATGGAGTAAGTAAGGATGAAAAACGTTATATAAATCAGCATGTTCTAATGAGAGCTACTCTAAATGACCATTTCAATAATCAATGTTTCGCAACAAATTAGTGTTAGTCAGTCTTATTATTTGATTTTTTAATTTTCTTGTTTGTATGTACACTTCTTTGATGTGGATTGATCGAATCGTTTGTCTATTCCTTTTTTTTCCTAATGACATTCATGTAATATGCAATTCAGTGGTCGAAATTTAACGCCAGCTATTGCGGAATCAATTTATCTGGAAAAAGTATGCTTATTACCAGATTATGGAGTTGAAATGCACTCAGTGAAGGTTAGTTTTCTTTTGTATATTGTGCTAAGCTATTCAATGGTCCCACAATCAATTTTCTTTTGCTTCCATGGTGTGGGCAGCCGGGAAGTGACAACCGCCCTCATACCCGTACCAGCACGCGAGACCGAATTGGTCAAAATCAAATCCTTCCTATACCCCCTAGTACCTCTCTTATCTCCACGAATAACTCTTCTCACATTCATTTATCACAGTGCACAGCTAATGCAGACGGCACGACTTCGCGAAACGTCGTTCCTGGTCTCCTTAAACCCCGCTCTAGACTACATGTTGCAGCATTTAATGTACGGACATTGTGTCAAATAGGGCAACAGGCATCATTAGCTAGGACTTTAGAATCTCGGGTTTCATCGGCACCTGAACTAGTGAAGGGAGTGAAGTAGTCGAACGTGTAGACCACTTCACATATCTTAGGAGTCTCATCAGTGCTGATGGCCTGGTGACTGACAAAGTCTCAGCACGGATACAGAAGGCTCGATTGGCTTCCGCCAACCTACGTCACTTATGGCGAAGGCGAGATATCCGTTTGCTGACTAAAGGACGAGTGTACTGTGCAGTAGTTCGCTCCGTCTTACTTTATGGCTGTGAAACATGGCCAGTGAGAGTAGAAGATATTCGTCGGTTATTGGTTTTCGATCATAGGTGTCTTCGAAGCATTTCTCGTATATTCGTGGGACACCCGAGTGAGCAACGCTGTTACTAGGAATCGGGTGCTAGGTAAGAATGGCAGATCAATAGATGAAGTGGTGAAACTTCATCAATTGAGGTGGTTGGGACATGTGTTGCGTATGCCTAACCACCAACTGCCTCGACGAGCTTTGTTTTGTAGTGTAGGAATAGGCTGGAAGAAAGCTAGGGGCGGCCAAACCAAAACATGGCAGAAATCCATGAAGTCATTGACGAGTGGACTTATTCATGTCGGTAATTGTCGACTACCTGGTTGGGTTCCGCGAGATGATAATAATCGACGGTTAGAGACCTTGAATGACATGGCTCAAAACCGTTTGCAATGGCGTTGGTGCATTTATTCTTTGTGTTCTCTCAAATTCTAATCTTCTGGATTCTTCAACCTATCTAGTTTTGACTTTCTAAACTTTTCTCACTGAATCATACTTCTTGAATAATATCTTCTAATCCTAACCTGTCGGATTACTTCTACAATACCTTTACTACCTCTTCTACTATTGGATTTGAATTGACAATTACATCTCTGCGCTGATGTGGTATGGCGACATGAACTGATGTACTTACGTACGAAGTTCTACGTTGCAACTGACTGACAATTTTCTTTTGAATTTTACATTAAATACCTTTTATCTCGTTAAATTTTTTAAATGATAACTTTTTATTAAATCATCTGAACACTGGAAATTTAATGCTTCTTCTCATCTGGGACTTTTAAATAGTGTATATTTATGTGACCCGACTACGGATTGAAAATATCATGATTATGGATTTCATAGAGAAAATACTTAAATGTCAAACACTAATATAATTAGCATAGACTGGTTGATATTTCGCTAGTTTTAGTCAATTTTCAGTGTTGTATCATCGTTATTCATTGTCATGAGTGATAGTTATCTCTAATCCAACTTGTTTCATCTCCTTTTCAACAACAACAAACTATCTTCAGGAATTAACTCGTGAAGTTAGGTTTTTTTTTGTGGAATTATAATGAATACTATTAAATCATAATTTGACAACATTTATTTATGAGTTAATTATTCAATTGTGTTTATTAGTATTCACCATAACTTATCATTATTTATTATTCAATTATTTTTCATTTGATTGATTGATTTATTTATAAAAAAATTATCAATCAACAGGGTAAAGATAATGCATTATACTCACTTGGACTTACACCAACGGGTATTTTAGTATATGAAGGAGAAAATAAAATTGGCTTATTCTTTTGGTAAGTTAATGTCCAATAATGAATGGTGAAAATGTTTACTGATTATTAGTTATTATTTAAACAAATAAATTGTTACTTTTGCCTTCAACGTTTTTTTGTTTACACAATTTGTTGCTTTCCATCCAATCATTATTAATATATTTTACATTATATGCATGTATTATAAAATTTGTATTAGTGCAATCGTTAAATATAAGGGTTATGGATAAGTATCTATAAACTTCTAAAATCATTGGTAAACATTAGTTAGTTTTTGAGTAAAAAAATTTTTCGTATTATCTATCAGTATTCTCGAAATGATGGTACATTCATTGAATATAATCAACTTCAAGCTATATTGTTTATATGAAAGCTAATGGTGTTGGTACTAAGCTGTTCAAAATATTGTAAGTTGAATAGTGTTCAAAATTACACATTAATGCCTGTGACCTACAATAGAGCATAGGCCACCGACCAGCGTTCTTCAACCTACACTCTGTCCTGGGCCTTCTTTCTCAATTCTATCCGATTGCTGTTCATTGTTTTCATGTCTGACTCCGATTCTCGGCATAATGTGTTCCCTGAACTCCCTGTTTTCGTTTGGGCTTCAGGATTCCAACTAAGGACTTGCATTGTGTTGTATCGGACAATCTTGCTTTTCCCTTTGTATATGTTGAGACGTGCTGCTACACTGGTCGTCTTCTCCTACATTTGTTGTTGTGTGTGCGATAACAGAGGTAGATCATATGTGAAGTGTAGATCGACTAGCTGCATCCTGGTTGTCCACTGTATATCCTGCTTCGTCCCAGATGTTGACGTCTTCATGATTCAGACAATTACCGGGAGAAATAGATAGGGTTGGAGTAATCAACCTTGCCCGAAAACGGTCTTTGCATCGAATGAGTCTGTTAGCTGATTTCTATACACGATTTTACAGTATAATCCATTGTAAGAATTGCGTATGATGTTGACTATCTTCTCAGGCACGCCGTGGTGTCGAAGAAGCCTCCATAGCATAGTGTTGTGCTGTCCACACTGTAAAATGCTTTCTTGTGGTCAAGGAAGTGGAGGTATAAGGTGATTTTCATTCAATATTCCACAATGATCCATAGTGTCACGGGATGAGGTCAGTAATACCATGCTGAAACTCCCTCCTCTATCTGGGGTTGAGAGCGACAGCAACGCTTCAGTCGGAGTTACGGTTCAAAATATGATTTACAAGATAACGGTCAGTTTGCTTAATTACGAAAACACTGATCCAGTTTATAATTGATTAATCTCTGGGCAATGAACAATGTCACATATGTCAGGTCCTTCTTAGAACTGAACGAATTCTATCGATCCAGTCCCAACGTGACCAGTAAGCTAGGTGACTTAACATCGCGTGCACTATGTTGCGATATAAGTTGATGATTGGAGTCTTTAGTGCTAATCAACTTCTGTGTTTTGGTAATATTCTATTTCAATAGATACTATGACACATTCTAGTTTAAATAAGGTACTTTGAACACGAATCAACAGAGGGAGAGAGAGAGAGAGTTAGTGAATCAAGCATTCTGTACGATTGTTTTTCTGCAGACTACCTTGTAAGGCTTTACAACAACAACTCATCTAATATTCTACGTGAGCATGTTGTAAACCAAATAAAAATGATAAACTATGAAACAGTATAGTATGAATGAAAAAAAATATATGGATAAAGAAATAACTGATAAAAATGTTTTAAAGATAAAAATATTAAGTTCAACTTGAATTATATTCATTAATTATTGAAAATTAAATAGTTTTTTATTAAATAAATTAGAAAATATTTCAAAAGAATAAACTGATTTAGAGAAAAAAAATCGATTTTTCATATTAATATTCATATGAGTAAATTGTGATGTGATTATACAATGGAATAAATCTGATGAATAAAATTATAATTGTACAATGTAATTTAGAAATAAATAAATGAAATTAATAAGTGAATAAAATCAATAAAAGAATGATGATATAATCATCTATTGCTTTCAGATTTCCTATGGTTGTTTTATATTTAGATCGGTCCATTATTTCAGTTGTAAATCTGTTAGTAGACTAAAACTAGAATCATTCGATAAATAATAATTAATAATAAGAAAACGGTATATATAAACAAACATACAACGGGGTTTCATTCGATTTTGTGATATTATGAACTTTTCATTTGATTCCTAATTTGCTTGCTGATCAAATTTAATATTTGAACCTGTAATGATATAAATCAACACAAATTAATCGACTTATGAAGTAATCTCAGTTAAAATTGATAAAATTATAAATGCAAAAGTAGTGTGATGTCATCAAGTTATGTTATCCGGGTCTCGAGTCCGGAAATCAAGAGGTGTGTTTATGTTCTGGCTTAAAACAAAGCGCGATATGTTATTATCATCTGTCAATGTCATTGATGGCTAACTGCTTCACATTTGATAGTATTGAACTCCAATAGTCTTAGCTGTTTCATCAGTAATGATGAAACAGCTAAGCTATCCAACATTTCTTGGTTTTTTAATGGTTGCTTAACTATGGCTAATCAATGGTGTTAACTGTATATCAATATTAGCTGTATAATAATAGATGTTTGAATTAAGCTTCACATTCTCCGTTTAATCAGTGTCAGTAATGTGACTAACTTTGAGCATTACAATTTAGTAATATTATTGAATGAACTATTAGTGTAGACTCGTTTATTGAATATTATTACATTAAAAATGTTTCTAGTTTCATAACTTTTATTTCAGTAATAATGCATTTTCTTAGGTCTGTTTCTAGTTTTCTCATTTGTTTATTTGTTATTTAGGCCAAAAATATTAAAGTTAGAAATGAAAAAGGACAAACTTAAAATTGCAGTTGCAGATGAAGATGAGAAAAGTGTGAGTCACATATCGATTGTTTATTCTTTATTTTTACTTACCTATATTAATTTATTTTTAAAATGGTTTAGAATACTATATTTATAGTTTAAAAGGTATCAATAGAAGCATAGTTGTAATCAAACTGAAATTACTGTTTAGCAGTTCATTTTTTCACTTAGTTTATGATGCTTCAGATATGTTAACTGATTATAAAAGACATACTCAAATTGAAGTCGTTTGGTATCCTAGCCAATAGGATGTCATTTGGTTATACTCAAAAAGAATCATGTTGTTATCATAATCGATTGTTTGTATGATGACTTCTAGCTCATTTAAGTGAACAGTGCTCGGTATTCACAAACAAATAACACTGCAGTAAGATTAACTGAATTTCGATTTAGTCAGTCAGTCAGATGCAACGTAGAACTTCGTACGTAAGTACATCAGTTCATGGCGCCATACCACATCAGCAGACAGATATAATTGTCAATTCAAATCCAATAGTAGAAGAGGTAGTAAAGGTATTAGAAGTAATCCGACAAGTTAGGATTAGAAGATATTATTCAAGAAGTATGATTCAGTGAGAAAAGTTTAGAAAGTCAAAACTAGAGGTGTTGAAGAATCCAGAAGATTATGATTTGAGAGAACACAAAGAATAAATGCACCGACGCCATTGCAAACGGTTTTGAGCCATGTCATTCAGGGTCTCTAACCATCGATTATTATCATCTCGCAGACTTCAACCAGGTTGCCTACATCTACCAACATGACTCAGTCCACTTGTCAATGACTTCATCGATTGCTGCCATGTCACTCAGGGTCTCTAACCATCGATTATTATCATCTCGCGGACCCCAACCAGGTTGCCTACATCTACCAACATGACTCAGTCCACTTGTCAATGACTTCATGGATTGCTGCCATGTTTTGGTTTGGCCGCCCCTAACTTTCTTCCAACCTATTCCTACACTACAAAACAAAGCTCGTCGAGGCAGTCGGTGGTTAGGCATACGCAGCACATGTCCCAACCATCTCAACTGATGAAGTTTCACCTCTCCATCTATTGATCTGCCATTCTTACCTAGTACCCGTTTCCTAATAACAGCCTTGCTCACTCGGGTGTCCCAGGATATACGAGCAATGCTTCACAGACACCTATGATCGAAAACCAATAACCGACGAGTATCTTCTACTCTCACTGGCCATGTTTCACAGCTCTCACTCGACCAGTGGTGTTCGAGTAGTGAGCTTGTATGAGG